GTAGCATATATACTCTCATACCATAGCATATATGTTCTCACACCGTCGCATATATGTTCTCATACCGTAGCATATATATGTTCTCATACCGTAGCATATATATTATCATACTGTAGCATATATGTTATCATACCATAGCATATATGTTCTCACACTGTAGCATATATGTTGTCACACCGTAGTATATACGTTCTCATACCGTAGCATATACGTTCTCATACCATAGCATATTTTTTCTCACACCGTTGCATATATGTTCTCATATCGTAGCATATATGTTCTCATACCGTAGCATATATGTTCTCATACCGTAGCATATATATGTTCTCACACCATAGCATATATGTTCTCATACAGTAGCATATATATGTTCTCATACCATAGCATATATGTTCTCATACCATAGCATATATGTTCTCACACCATAGCATATATGTTCTCATACCGTAGCATATATGTTCTCATACCATAGCATATATGTTCTCATACCATAGCATATATGTTCTCACACCGTAGCATATATGTTCTCATACCATAGCATATATGTTCTCATACCATAGCATACATGTTCTCATACCGTAGCATATATGTTCTCATACCGTAGCATATATATATTCTCATACCATAGCATATATGTTCTCACACCGTAGCATATATGTTCTCATACCATAGCATATATGTTCTCATACCATAGCATACATGTTCTCATACCGTAGCATATATGTTCTCATACCGTAGCATATATATGTTCTCATACCATAGCATATATGTTCTCACACTGTAGCATATATATTCTCATACCATAGCATATATGTTCTCACAACGTAGCATATATATGTTCTCATACCGTAGCATATATATGTTCTCATACCGTAGCTTATATGTTCTCATACTGTAGCATATATGTTCTCATACCGTAGTATATATATGTTCTCATACCATAGCATATATATTCTCATACCGTAGCATATATGTTCTAATACCATAGCATATATGTTCTCATACCGTAGCATATATGTTCTAACACCGTAGCATATATGTTCTCATACCATAGCATATACGTTCTCATACTGTAGCATATATGTTCTCATACCATAGCATATACGTTCTCATACCGTAGCATATATGTTCT